ACCATGTAGTCTATACTGTGGATCAGGCAGAGCAATTCACTTTGAAGGAGTTGGTGATGACTATTTTGAAACGCCTTTAGGTTGTTCAAGGAACTGGACACTCTTCGGCTATCTAAATGGATTAGCAAATACTACCGGTGAATGGGAAGAATGCCAGGTATTCAATGTAAATTCCCCCAACTCAGAAGTATAGGGTCATATGTGAGAGGGAAATATCCTATCACAACTGTTTACTAAAGAAATTTAGATTCTTTCATTTTGTCTTTTGAAACTTTGGAAATCTGCACAAGTTTTCCATTTCAGTATGAATAAACAGGCTCTCACTTCTCAGTTGCCTAAGCCACTGAGACACCGTACACCTGTAGCAGACAACTTTCAACTCGGGTTCCTACAGGAAGCCATCTAGGGTACAAGTCCCCAGAGACGGGGCACTAAGATAGGGGATGGTGGGTGGCCAACTGGGGTTCAAGAAATGAACTACAAACTGGATGCAATGGCACACGCCTATAATCCCAGCGGCTCGAAAGGCTAAAGCAGAAAGATCATGAGTTCAAAGCCAGCCTTGGCAATTTAGTGAGGCCCTAAGCAACTCAGCAAGACCTTGTCTATAAATAAAACATAAAAAAAGGGATGGGGATGTGGTTCAATGGTTAAATGTCCTGGGTTCAATCCTTGATACCAAAAAAAAAAAAAAAAGATACTGCACATCTGTCTTTTGGGGAGTCATGATGGTATCTGTTTCTCAGCTACTATACACAGACAATCTGAATTATTTTGTCTCTTATTACCTCTCAGAAAACCATATGCCTACTAACTACTGCAAAAGTAAAGTCACCCAACTTAGGCTATGTGCCCGATTTTGTAGAGGGTAGCCAAGAAAAGGGTGAAGGAAGCATAGAAGAAAAAGAAATTCCTTTCTAAGGCATGATCCACCGGCCTACTTCCTCCAGCTAAGTATCCCCCACTATAATTTCTACCACTTCCTATTAGTGCCACTGAATAATTCATCCATCAATGGATTAGCCCACTGATGAAGCCAGTGCTCTCAGGACCAAATCACTTCCCAAAAGCCCCTCTCTGAACACTGTTGCAATGGGGATTAGGCCTTCCACACATGAGCCTTTGGAGGCCATTCCAGATCCAAACTGCAACAGCCAGTAATGCCAGTGTGAATTTGAAAATAGCAGTTGTCACTGGACATGGATGACACCATGTCAGAGTTTGGTTGGAAAAGCAATGATTTTGTTTTATTAACTTAAAGCTTGAAGGTTATTGCTTTGAAGCTGGTGCTCAGAGTACTTGGTAGAATATTCAATGACTAGCCTTTGGTGCTAGACTGAAAGCAGCAATAAATATATGTGTATATAGGTTATGGTATGTCTATTTTCAAAAATTTATTATCTGTTTATTAAACTAATTATTGCCCTTTAAAGTATATTTATTGTAAAACATACAACTTTTGTATCTTAGCCATCACTATCTTAAGGCTGAATTAAGTTACAAGAAAATTGGCATCTTAAAAAAAAAGAATCATAACTCAGCAAACAGACATATTTTGGAAAAGAATAGAAATCCTGGAAATAAAAAGCTCAGTAATGGCCATACTACAAAAAAAGTACTATATAGATTCAATAAAATTCCCATCAAAATTCTAATTATTCCTAGAAATAGAAAAAGCAGTAATTAAATTCATTTGGAAAAATATGAGTCCCAGAAGAGCCAAAGTAATCCTTAGCAAGAAAAGCAAAGCAGGAGGCATCACAACACCAGACCTTAAATTATACTATAGAGCCATTGTAACAAAAACAGCATGGTATTGGCACCAAAATAGGCATGAAAACCAATGGAAGACACAAGACAAACCCACATAAATACAGTGATCTCATTTGACAAGGATGCCAAAAACATTAATGGTGTTAGGAAAACTTTAAAATCCATATGTAATAGAACGCAACTTAACCCCTATGTCTAACCCTGCATAAAACAACTCAAAGTGGATCAAAGACCTCAGATTTAGACCAGAAACCCTGCCCTTCCTAAAAGAAAAGGTAAACACAACACACCAACATATAGGCTCAGGAACTGAGTTCCTTAACAAGATGCCTAAAGAGTAAGAAGTAAAATAAAAATTCAATAAGTGGGGAAAAAAATCTTCAAAGCAAAGGAAACAAAAGCATGCAAAGGAAACAAGAACATACAAAAGAAGTCTACAGAAAATCTTTGCCATCTGCACCTTGGATAGGGCATTAATATCCAGGGCATTAATATCCAGGATATACAAAGAATTCAAACTTGACACCAAAAAACCCCCCAAACCAAAACAATACACCAAACCAAAAAAATAAATCAATAAATGGGTAAAGGAACTGAAACATTTCTTACACAAACCTAAGTGGTATAAACTTAATGCACACTTAGCCAATAAGGCCAGTCACACACATATAAGCAGAATACCTTGCTCCTAGAGCCATGATGTACACTGCTTTACAGTAATTTTTTTTTAAATATGTAAGTAGAAGGACAATACTACACCAAAATGAGAGGAATATAAATACATAATCCAGTAATAGTCATTTGTTATTATCAAGTATTATTTGCTATACATATTTGTGTATGCTATACTTTTTCATTTTACTGATATTTAGCTCCATTTTGTCAATCTGAGAAAAGGCAGACACTTCAAAATTATGTTAGATCTATAAATTAACTTATAAAGTATTTAAGTCTTTCTAGTAACATCTTTTCATTGACTCAATATTTTTCTTGACGGTATGTCTCAATTTATGTCAAATGGCTCTATCAGTGTTTTACTAGTATTAGGCTGGTTTACACCAGAATCACCACAAACTTATGAAGAACATGTTATACTTTGTCACCTCTAGGCCATGGATATTTTTCAGTCCCATTACAATAAATCTTATGGTACCACCATCATATTTAAAGTTCATTATTGACCTAAATATTTTTTACATGGTACACAACTGTATATACATGCTTACCTTAATAGAAACAAGGTGCTTTCCATGATTAAGTAAAATTGATGTTCCAAGGACTATTTATTCCATGGCTTCATGTAGCTCAAGAAATTTGCCTCATATTCCTAAGAATAAATGAAATTGAGAATTATAAATGTAGTAAACTCAAGACAGTGTCAGAAAAAAAAAGTAGAACATTAGATGGGTTATATAATTTTAATTTGTATTGGAATACCCCAATTGCTTACTTAGATATCATTAGTAATCAAAATAAAACAATTGAGTCCCTCACAATAGCATTAAAACATTAAACAAAGCAATTTAACATAAATTAAGAGGCCTACCATTGAGAAAAGTCAAAGTTTTGAGTCAATGAAATGATTTTAATACTTAATACAATACTATATTATAAAGACTTCAATATGTTTCAGTAAATTTATAGGTTTAATTTTGAAGTATCTTATTCTTGTTTATGTAAGTATGAAAATATACTATCATGTATAACTAAAAAGAAGAAAATTTTTTTTAATATCTTTTTTTTATATGGTGCCAAGGATCGAACCTAGTGTGTCATGCATACTAGGTGAGCAGGCTCTGCCTCTGGGCCACAACCCCAGCCCAGAAAAAAATTTTAAAAACACAAAAAGGGTAAATAAATTTTGTAATTCTGGGAAAATGAGAGCTATGAATGACAATGCTATTAAAAAATTTTTGAGGCATCTCCCATTTCAGAATTTGGCCAAATAGAATTTGGTCAAACAAAGTAGGAAGGTTATTTATAATAAATTTTCCTTACTCAAAAATCTGTTACATACACACACACACACAGTACTTATGAAAGAATTGACAGTGAGGTGAGAGTACTAAACATTGTCATATACCTAAGAAGTAGACAAGCTTTTGTCATAATGGAACCACCAATACTAGAAATACAAAAGGTAAAGCTGAACTTATTGCTTCAAGGAAACTTTACAGACCAGATGTAGATCCTAAGCAGAATGATGGTCTTAGAGTTTTGGGAAACAATAAGTCCAGAGGTTGGTGTACCTCCAGAAGCATCCTCCACAGAAGCTGAGGTCATACCATGTTGATTGTAAAAAAATATATATACATTTATATGCCAACCAAATATAAGAGCCTGTCCCTGGAAACCTTCAAAATTAAGTCAACTGGTCAACTGATTTACAAAAGCCTGTTCACCAAAACTGGTGTTGATTGATAGAACAGCTTTACAACTTTTCAGTGACTTGTTGCAAAGGTTACAGAAAAAAAGTTCCTAATTTTGCAGTAACTACAAAATTTTGTTTCCATTTTTGTCTTTGTTGAGCCAAAACTGAAGGAGACATCAGATGTTCAAAAGTATTTATTTACAGACATCTGATTTTGTCGAGTTTTTTTTTTTTTTTTTTTTTTTTTTTTAAAAAGCAGCACCTTCCTTTCCTTCTCTTATTTGTAGAGTCAGTCAGGGTACTGACTACCAAGAAGCATTAAGACCCTGGATACTTTGAACAATTATTAAGCAAATAAGTGGATTTATATTTTTAAAAGAGGGAGGAAAATTTTGCTTTGTTTTTTGTAAAATGGTAACATTGTTTTTCTCACATAGTGAAAATCTAGTAGCAATGATGTGGATTCCTACCTAGTTGGCCAAGAGAAAAATATGAAGATGTTATGGTGAAAAGGAAAATCTACGAAGATTTTATCTATGACTACTTTAAATAATTTGAACTAGTCTGTTATATTTACAAAAGTGTAGTAACTTTAAACCAGTAAAGGCTATGACCAAAACAATAAACAAGTATATAAAGGTAAGTGTAACATTGAGAAATTTTTCCATGGTCTTAGGCAGAAGCTTTCTATGATCATTAACTTGTTCCAGGTTCTTGTGTCTGTCAACCTCAGTTGTTCTCCTTTGAGAACTTTTGCTTAGAATCTTTAATGGCTATAACTTGGCAGATCTATTAAATTTTTCCAGAGGATTGAAAGTCAAGGGCTGGGGATGTGGCTCAAGCGGTAGCGCGCTCACCTGGCATGCGTGCAGCCCGAGTTCGATCCTCAGCACCACATACAAAGATGTTGTGCCCGGCAAAAACTGAAAAAAAAACTTAATATATATATATATATAAATAAAATTAAAATTCTCTCTCCCTCTCTCTCACTCTTTAAAAAAAAAAGTCAAGACAGATATCAGGGGTAAAGCCTTGCATAATGTAAATATAGGGATAAATGCTTTAGTTAAATGTGACCCATCTAACTGGAGCAGTTATTTGGAGAGTCTTCAGTAGAAAACACGATAGCAGTTTAGCCACTGTATGGGGTTCAAGAAAATGCTTGAGTGTAACTATAAGAACTAATTTACTGCTTATACTTATAACCCATAAAGGAAGGAAACTATATAATCTGGAGGCCCTTGAAGGGTTCTACAGAGACACACACACACACACACACACACATACACACACAAAATAAGCGCTCACCCGCTAGAGCCTTTTCAGATTAAATTAGTTACAGATATAGCATGAACTGGCTATGTCCCATTCTATGTGACAAAAGGTGGGGTTTAACATTTTTGGCAAATTTGCCCCTGTGTGATGTTTTGATTCATGGAAGATTTTTTTCAAGTGAACACTTGAGGTTTTATTTGGTGCCAGTAGGTAGCTATTGAGATTTTGCCAGATTTTACTTTTAAAGTCATACAACCTTATCATTCCTGGAGTTTTTTCAGAATTTGGCAGACTATATTCTGTGTATTTATGATGAATTCTTGAATTTCAGTAATTTATTTTTGTTGATTCATATGAAGCCTTTTCAAATATGTCAATTTACTTAGCATGATGGTTGAAGGATTTCTATAATAGTTTTAAAGAATTGCTATATTTATATTTCAAATATTTTATAAGTTCTAGAGTATTGAACACTATTTGCAGTTTTTGACTCAGATTTATATAAAATATACTCACTTAAACTATTCAATGAATACATTTGCTGGGTTGTGTAACTAGCATAATTTAGTTTTAGAACATTTCTGATGTCCTATGATCAATTTTTGATAGCAATTCTTCAGGATAACATCACAGCATTCATTAATACATTTAATGCTAATTAAAAGGTACTAAAATTTTTTTCTTAAGTATTTTTCTTCAGCATTTTTATTATTTTAAAATATACTAACTACCAGTTTTACATTTATTCTTTAATTTTAGTAATTTTGTATGCTATAGAGAGGGTCACACAGATCAACCATTTGAACAATATGGCTTCTGGTAAGAAATTAAGTTTTATTAAGGAAAAAAAAAGCCTAATATTGCCTGTTTTATGAGATCTATCCAACAAACTATTAAATCAGCATTTGATATTGGAGTATCCAAGAATTCTGATCCAGCCATGGATATTTTTTGAATTAAAGAAACAATGATAGGGTTATGGGATTAACTGCTGTACTAGTAGATGCACAGGAGAGGATAACAGTCATTCATAATTAGTTACTCAACTGGTCTACAATTATTGGATGGTTTCCAATGGCAACAAGGATCCCTAGATGTAGTTAGATTAGATTTACAGGCCTAGTGTAAGTTCTAAAGATAATTTCACTAATCTAGGTGATGCCTGTAATTGCTGAGGCAATGAAGCCGACACTGTCTACTGAACTCGGGGGGTTTTCATAGGTGAGGATTTTTCGCTATACACCATGGTACTGAGTTCACTACCTTATAGCATGGCTTACACTTTTCATGTTTGTACAATAAGATAGGTTTATATAACCAGGAAGAATCAATTTGGGTTCTCACACCTAATCCAATTAGTTTGCCTTTTTCTGTGGTATATTTCACTCACAGGAATCCTTTGTCTTTGATAACTTCTTAAAAATCATGAAAACGTATTAATGTTCATATTGTATAAGAATATTACATGCAGAAGCCTTAAAAACATTTTATTTTTAAATAGATTCTATTTGTAAGTTTTAATCAAAGATTATGTATTCCTTCAATAATGATTTCACATTTCAGATGAAATCAGACAATTTTTATATTTCCACTATTTGAAATTCTAATAGATCAATCTATATTAAAGTTTATCATAAACCTTCTGCAATTTACTCCAGAATTTTTCCTTTTATATTTTGTTTTCAACATCTGTCTCAACTTCCATGTCAGACTATGAGAAAAGCTGGTAAAAAAGTATTGAGAGCATGTAAAAAACCTTTGAAGTGCTGAAGAACCCCTGGTATAATTCCCAGGATAAGACTGAAATGTAGGGAGGTGATCTTAGCACTAGGGCCATTTTTCCAAAGGGTCATTGGCTGACAAGATGAGAGTACTGAAACACTGTGGAGATGGAAGAATAAAACTGGAATGCTGGCTCAACTGAAGATGGGGCTCTGGAATTCACTGTGCACCAAGTTGGGAACCCACAAGGTCTCACAGACCTTGTCCGAGCTGTCATCTGCGATCCTTACAATTGGATTGATATGATCTAGGATCCCTACTGTCCCCTGCGCCTGGAATCAACAAAACTTCTCTTTGAGGAAAGGTAGCATCACTTAGTTATTACATTTTCAAGTATGCTTGAATGTAAAAATAACCAAGTTCATGAGAAAAAAATAAACCTGAAATTCTTTACCATCCATTAGGGTCTCTGTAATATTCAATAATAAAAGCTTTAAACAATAACAAAGCTGTAAATTATGAAAAAGACTTTGCACATAGGAAAGTGAAAAAATAAAAATTCTGAAAGGAAAAGTCTGAAAGTAAGAAATCAATGAATGATAGTATAGTTTAAGAAATAAATGCAAGAAATTATTGAGGACAAAAGGATGAAAATATAAAATAAAGAGACATCAAGTATACATTGAGGAGGTATAACACCCATGTGATTGGAATTCAAGAGGGAAGCAATTGTCCCAGAAATAATGTTTGAAGAGATCCAGGCTAAGAATTTTCTGAAATTAAGAAAGGTCCCAACCCACAAATTCAAGGATCCAATCAAATATGAAACTGGATAAATTAAAAAAGAAAAACCAGTATACTTGGATATATAATAGATCCAAAAGTACCTTGGAAGTGTACCAAGAGAATAAAACAGACATTACTTTCAAAACACCAATGGAAGTCAGTAGACTACTGGCTTCTGAAACAATGAGGCCATGAAGATAGCTTGAAGGGATGAAATAACACCTCAAATTAGACATCAACTAAAACATCCTCCATCGTTGAAGGCTTGCAATGTGTGTAACTGACAAAGGGTTTGTATCCAGAAAATAAAGAGAACTCTTCAAGTTCAGCAAAAGTAAATTTTAAAATGTGAAAGCCAGACGTAGTGGTGCACGCCTATAAGCCCAGCAACTTGGGAGGCTGAGGCAGCAGAATTCCAAATGCAAGCCCAACCTTGGCAAGGTAGCAAGACTCCATCTCAATCTGAAAAATAAAAAGGACTAGGGATGTACCTCAGTGGTAGCGCACCCATGGATTCAATCCCCAGTACCTCAAATGATGATCAGCAGCCTCATCATAAATGGAGAAAGATTTAAGTGGTACTTAACCAAAACAAAAATCCCTAGAGAGCCATAAAATTGTATTACCAATAACTATATTCAAGTTAAAGTCGTGATATATACATGTGACAGATTGTGCTTCACTAAAAAGAGAAAAAATTCTCCAAAATCTGAAACTTCAAGAACAAGCATGATGCTACCAGTGAATTTTTTTTTTTTAACACTCCTGTTGTTGTCAAGGACAAGGCACACCAAAAATATTAACTAAAAAATCACCTTAAGCCCATGTATATAAAGTGTATATCAGACAAACAAGTATTTTGTTTAGTCTTAGGTCCTATCCCTGGGATATCTCATTATGTATGTGCAAATAGGCCCAACTAAAAAAATACAAAACCAAAACCAAAACAAGCCTGGCACAGTGACATACACCTATAATCCCAGTGACTCAGAAGGCTGAGGCAGGAGGATAACAAGTTCAAAGCCAGCCTCAGCAACTTAGCAAGGCCCTAAGCAACTTCGTAGACCCCGTCTGTAAATAAAATATTTTTAAAAAGGGATGAGGATGTGTCTCGGTAGTTAAGCATCCCTGGGTTCAATACTATATATATTTATTATATATTATAGATCTGAAACACTCCTACTCCCTAGCATTTTGAATGCTAGTCTTACACAGATATCACATACATATTGGCTACGAAGCCACAGACTAAATTGAGAATGGCTAACAGTACCAAATATTAGGTAGGGTATAGAACAACTTGAACATCTACTGAGGGAGAGCAATATGATATCACCACACATGATGAAGGATTTGAAATTCAGCAAATTTGAAGATACACCTACCCAATGATTTGGTTCGTTCCACTCTTCAAAGAAAAAATTTCTTGGGCCAATCGTGTCCAAGACAGTGGACTTGAGCAAAGAAAAATAAAACAAAACAAATCAAACGGGACTGCTCTACCAACCAGAGCAAGTACTGAAAACTCCCACTAACAACCAACTCTGATAGTATTTATAGAAAAACAGACTCGAGGAATCGAAAATAACTTAATTGGCTACAGCTTAGTCAATTGATGACCCTTTAACTAGTTAATTGGCTAAAGGGCCTCCTGCAACCAATCAAGGCTCAGTTAAACTCAAAGCTGCAATTTAACTCAAGATTGGCTTGGTCTGTTGGGCCTCATGCAGGTGACTAGTCCAAACACATGTCCCACCCCAACAAATTTTATTACACTCCAGTTTTGTAACCAAGAGAAATGTTTGCAGAGTGTACAGAGACACAGACAAGGACACACACAGCTGAACTATTTGTAATTGCCGCAAACTGGAATCAACTTTTTAAAAAAACCCAAAGCACATAAATACAATGTGGCATATTCATTCAGTGTAACAGTATATCAAAGAGAAAGAACATACAATAATTACATACAACAAAACAGATGATTGGGAAATCTAACTGGAAGAAGCCAAGCACAATGTAATATAAAAAGTATAATTCTATTTATGTTAAGTTCAAAATCAGGCAAAAATAAAAATATAATATTTGGAATGCACACAGAAGTGTTAAAGGTATCTTGAAAAGCAAATACGTGATTATG